GTCTGTCTGTCTGTCTATCAGCTGAATTATTTTAGAAGTCAACTGATTTGATAAGTTGGTATAAGTAAGTTCCCACTGATTTCAGGTACATTTTAAAATAGATGAATTCATCCCATGGATTATAAGGGGACAACACTTTGGACTTTGCCGATTATTTGCAGGTAATTGCACCCCAGTGGAATTTCTGGAAACCATAATTGCCTTTCTTCTAAATCACTCACATTTTAAAATAATACTCACTGGAATTTGATAGAAGGCTCTTGTCACTAACTCTGGGGATTGAGGATGGATTATCCACTGAGGATGCAACATTTTAAAAAGATGTGGAGGGAGAACTGAAGAACTGAAGAAGAGCCTCTACCTGAGGACACCATGCACTATGGCTCTGTTAATTCTTCATTTCACACTGAGAGGGCATATCAAGCAGAACTCCATAATATCTTCAGAATGGAACTCAAAAAATAACTACATGTAAAAGGGAAAGAAGGATGGATCCCAACTGATCAAGATGACTCAGAACAGGCTTGAGAAGATATGTCCTGGATTATAACAAGCCTCTATCTCACAAGAGGCAACTGCCTTTTTAGAACTGCAACACCTTTGGTGATTTTTTTTTGCAACTAGCCATTAGATTAGAAAGAAACCTTAAGATCTCTCCCTGCAGACCTGATCCCCAACTCTCTTTAAATATGAGAAAATAAATACCAAGGGGACTATTGAAAAAATCTGCTTCCAACATCAGGATCAGGTTCTCTTTTTAAGCTCCTCCCCCCCAAAAACAATATTCACAAAGGTCTGGGACAAAAAGTGTATTTCACCTCCACAATTCCACCATTGTTTTATAGCAGTTAGAAAAAGAGCCATTATTTGCTTTGCCAGATATTATTTCTTTCTGCACCATCATTAACTCTAAAAAGGAGTCAGATTTTGAAACCGAGTCAAACTTCTCAATATTCCTCCTTGTTTCTGTAAATCTTTTGTTGTTAAGTAAGATTTTCAGACAGAGTGTTTTTCCCATTTGCTCTTATGAGGAACTGAAAAAGACATTGATGTTTTCTTAAAGTTATAAATAGTCCAGTAAGATTGTAACTTTGACAGGAGAGAACTAATAATATATTCAGCAGAGCTACTGAGGATGTGTAACAGTTCCACCCCAGGATACCTAACCAGTAGCTTCCTTTTGTTGGTCTGAATTCCTATATTTTTTAAAATTAATAGGAAATAGCTGAACAAACTACTTCCTATTCCACTATCCTATTCATTCATTCATTCATTCATTCATTCATTCATTCATTCATTCATTCATCACATTTATATAGCTGCCCACTGGATATGCAACTGAATGATATGATATAGTTTCCTGCATTTGAGGGAAGAATGGACTGCAATGAAAGAAACCTGTCCATTACTAAATAAATGTAAGCACTGCAAAATACAGATAAGCTGTCAGCATGTTCTATCCAGTGGGAAGAAACTCCAAAGTCTCCCTTAGAATATCTCATACTTCAAAAAGCTGAGGTGAGGATAAGAATAATTGACATATGGAGTGTCCAAATCAAACAGCACCAAGTATATTTATCCTCTTAGGATTTCCATATCCACAGGAGCTCAAGATCCCCTTGCTTTTCTTCTTCTCAATCATGTTTATCCTGACTCTTTCTGGAAATTCTCTGATCATCCTGGTGGTGATCTCTGACCTTCAGTTGCACAAGCCCATGTACTGGTTCCTGTGTCATCTCTCCATCCTGGATATGGCCTTCTCAGCTGTGGTGGTTCCCAAAGTTATTGCAGGATTCATTCCTGGTGGAAAAGTAATTTCTTTTGTAGGGTGTGTGACTCAACTATTCTTTTTTCATTTCCTTGGATGTGCAGAAAGCCTCCTCTACACCTTGATGGCTTATGACCGCTTCTTGGCCATTTGTAAACCACTCCATTATGGCAACATCATGAACTGGAAAGCCTGCCTCAGCCTGTCCTTGGGTACCATAATTGGAGGCTGCCTCCAATCCACATTTCAGACATTTCTCACCTTCCACTTGCCTTATGGACAGAAAAACAATATTGATTATGTCTTCTGTGACATTCCTGCCATGCTGAAACTGGCTTGTGTTGATACAAAATTTAATGAGTTGGTGAGCTTCATTGATGTTGGCCTTGTAGCGATGACCTGCTTTCTCCTTATCTTAGCATCCTATGTTTACATCATCATAGCTATTTTGAGAATTAGCAGTAGTGAAGGACAGCGCCGAGCTTTCTCAACTTGCACTGCCCATATTACTGTGGTGGTCATATACTACCTGCCTGTGGTGTACCATTATATGAGGCCATCTTCTCAGGACTCCATGGATGGTGTGGTGAGTGTGTTCTACACCACAGTAACCCCTTTGTTGAATCCAGTGATATACACACTTAGGAACAAGGAGATGAAAAATGCTCTGGTGAAACTATGGAGCAGGAATCCAGAGTAAACAGTAACAGTGTGGACAACTCATTTTGATTTTTTTGAACGTGGTCAGTAGTTAATTTCATCACTTCAGTATGGAAATCTGCCCCTTTTTATTGGCCATATTGTAATTTCTATTGAACACTCTTTAATGTTGATACAGCTGGTCAAATTTACAGAGAAAGCCGAAAGAAATGTATTAGAAATTTGGAAATAAGTACCTTTTTTCAGTTGAAATTGTGCCTTGTGGTAACCATTTCCTCCTTCATTCTCATGGTGATGTCTTGTTTAGCAGGAGGAAGAAGAATATGAAAACTGAATTTGGTCCAACAAGAGGAAGATTGAAAAGATGCTCAAGAAAGAATCTGAGATACAAGCAGTGCTATGGGAAGTCTGAGGCTTAAGTCTGTAGGGCAAAGGGTCCTCATACCATGTTGCCTAGTTTCTCTCCTGGAGAAGTTCTGATCTAACTAGATCTAAATTTCAAGTATGTCCATCACCCAACAGCCTCAGTTAGCTCTGCTCTCTTGGACACAGAGGAGGAGGAATTCCTGGGAATCATCACCTCCAACCATCTCTCTTTAGGAGATGTGATATCTCAACCTGTCCCCTGACAGCTGGCTGGGATTCTATTGCCTCTTACAAGACCTGTTTCTGAAAAGATCTCAACAGAGGCAAATAGGAAATATATACTGTATATATATCAAAGAGGTACAAAGAGCTCATGGGAGCCATTAGAGAGTTAATACATGACTCTCCTTTTTAGAAATGCACTTAATATCTCTTCTGAATGTCTTTGGGTGTGCCTGTCCCATGCTGTATGGATCTCTCTGATATTGTGATTTGAATAAACATTGTTCTTTTGTTATTTATTCATTGAAACAAGAGAAATAACATATTAGATTTCTAGATTTGGAGATATTACCCTTAATTCTTTTTCCATAAATACTGCAGAGACGTTCATAATACAACTATTTTGTCTGGCTATAATGCTCTCACAGTAATGCCAACATTTTCCTGAGGAGCAAAGACTTGGTGAAATAGTACTGCTTTCTCTTGTGTTCTTGTCATAAATTGTAGAGATCTATGTACAGCTGTCTCCTGGGGTGAGTTCCTGAATTTCAGGTGGACACTCGTCCTAGGCAGCAAGGAATATAAGATTCCTTTTCCAGATGAACTTTGCTGGAGCAACAAGATCTTACCAAATCTATGATGTGTCTCTACATTCTGATTTACCCTTTCATCAACTTTAGTCATCCATACTTCCTGAATTCTTCTTCCGTCCTATTTGGTCCAAACTTTCCAAGTGCATCACCTGTTTCTTGTTTTGCATTTGTGAGATCATCTCAATATGACATTCTTGGCTGAGCCTTGGCATTAAAATTACACTCCCAAACTATGATCATTTAGATGGAAGTGCGGATTTGTGATATGTATTTCAGGGGTCAAAAAAATGTCATGTTCACTGCTTTTACTCTAATCATATCAGATATTTTTCCAGATAAAATTTTGGGAGTCCCTAGAGCTGCACTGGCTGCCGATTTGCTTCCAGGTCCAATTCAAGGTGCTGGTTGTCATCTTTAAAGCCCTACATGGCTTGGGACCAGGTTATTTGAAGGACCATCTTTTCCCAGTTTCATCTGCCCGACCCACCAGATCAGGGAGGCAAGGTATGTTATGGGTCCACCCTATTAAAGAAGTCCATCTAGTGGGACTGAGAAGAAGGGCCTTCTCCATGGTTGCTCCCTCCCTGTGGAACATCATCCCCACAGAGATAAGACTGTCCCCCACCTTGCTGCTGTTCTGCAAGGCCCTGAAGACATGGTTTTGCCAGCAGGCCTGGGGATCCCAGGTCAACCCGGAGCCCATCAAATGGCTAGTGTAAATGTATTGTTGTCACCAGGGGGGTGGGGGGGTAGAGTGGGTTTTGTATTTTTACTCTTGTAAGCCAACCAGAGTCACCATGAGTTAGTTGGGCAGCCATATAAATTGTTTAAATAAATAAGATATATTCACTTTGTTAGCTTTAAAAAAATCTCACTTTCTCTATTGAATTTGAAACACTTGGAAGCAAGCATTTCTTTGTATTTCTTTGTTTCTGTTGAATCTGTAGGCTGCCCCATACCAGATGAATATGGGCAGCTTTACAGAATTAAAGCAACAATATAATAAAAAACAGTTTTCTATTGTAATGGAGAACATGGATTAGAGAATAAAAAGCAAGTTTCTATTATTCTTATTCATAGCAACTGATGCCCAATATCAATTTCTTTCCTTAAAAATAGAAAAAAGTACTATTGTATGCTATCAAGTGTTTGTCCTGAGTACTCTTATTGGTTTAATGTCAAAGTTTAGAGCATCTTACTAATCAGAAGACAGTAAATGCCTTGATAAATTCACTGCTGGGGAAAAGAAACCGGTTATCAGTTATCTGTTGGATTGTTAAGAAAGGGAGGGGATCACCATCCCATTCATATTCTTGGAGGCTATTTAAAGCAATAGAAGGAACAACAGAAAAGTCCAGATTTTGGTGCCAGTAGTTGGACACAGTTAAGTGGCAATGGGTACACTGATGGAAAATCTGAAGAACCAATTGGGGACAGATCATCTTGCAGAAAATCTATCTATGTGATCACTAACTGTCAAAACTGACTTAATGGCACATAATTAGCCAAAAAACCATCAGGCAATGAGCAGATACATAGATAGGGAGAGTCAAAAAAGTCAAGATGGTGACTTTCTTGGTCTTCCATCAGGCAGTTGCAGCCACTGTCTTGACTTTTGGGACACTCCAGCCATGAATATGAATGACGGAGCTTTATGGGACAATGTAAAATCAGAGGCAGTGCTCCTGCAAGGAGGATCTAAACAAAACTGGTATATGTGACTTGATATGTATTTTTGGTGGCAGTTGAGGAATGGGGCAAAAGCTTTAAAGTGCCTCTTCAGTTTCCATACTTCTTATGCACAGATCCACCCTTCCTTTCTTCATGCAAATTTCATGAGCATATGCCTTTTGTGTAGCCAAGTAGAGATTTTTTTTCCTTCCTTGAGCTGATCAGCCATTGCTTGGGATTGTTCTTTAAGGACACCATACCTTCTGGTCTCCTGGTCTTTTCATTCAGTTAGGCTTTCATGAATAAATCACAATACAAAATAAGAATATAGGGGAATTGAAAGAGTTTATTTTGCTCTCCAGTATGATTGGCCACTGGCCTTATTACAAAGGTGGGGATCTTAGCAACCAATCTTCTGCAATATGTGGAGTCCTTGGGGTTCTCTGAGCTTGGTTGTTTTCTTGCAAACGTTTCGTTACCCAGCTAGGTAATATCTTCAGTGCTAGAATGGGATGGCGTTTGCTCTCTGTTTATGCCCTGCCAGTGTTGGTGGGGGAGTGGATTTTATTTTGTTTTATTTTTTTCTCTCTGGTAGTTCCTTGATTAGGGCATTGCTTGACTGTATGTCTGGTGATAATGTTGGTGTTAATCTCTGCTTATCTGGGTGATGATTGCTGGTGA